TTTTTTTTTTTTTTTTGTTGATTTTTTTTTTTTTTTTTTTTTTTTTTTGAGATGCAGTCTCACTGTCACCCAGATTGGAGTGCAGTGGTGCAATATCGGCTAGCTGCAACCGCTGACTCCCGGGTTCAAATGATTCCCATGCCTCAGCCTCCTGAGTGGCTGGGACTACAGGGATGCGCCACCATGCCTGGCTAATTTTCGTATTTTTTAGTAGAGATAGGATTTCACCATGTTGGTCAGGCTGCTCTCCAACTCTTGACCTCAAGTGATCCACCCACCTCGGCCTCCCAAAGTGCTGGGATTACAGGCTTAGCCACCAAATCAGGCCATGACTGTGGAATTTTAAATTCAAAATAATGCTGAAGGTCTCTAGCAAGTTAAATGGTTGCTAGATAATAACGGAGGATATACTTATGATCAAATAATGGGTTAATATTTCTTCTCAAGGCCAAGATGTTCCTGAATGTTATCTACAATCGCTGAACATTTTCTAAGCATCAACTCCTTCCTCCTCCTGCCCCAAGAAAATGATCTCTTGAGACTTTTTAGTGTTCTACAACATTCTAGTTTCAACTTCCCACCTTGCTAATAGCAGCTTTCTGTTTCCTCCTCCTAAGACTGTTGTTTCATTAACACGACACTTCTCTGCAATTATTCTTTATTCTTTTGGGGTATGTGAAAGCACTCACCTGCTCCTCCAACATATCAACCCTTCAAGTACTTGAAAAAAGTTTTCATGAATCCAATTTCATAAATATTATACATTAATGCCCTACTATTCATATAAATACCCTAGGTCATTTCATCTAACTAGTCCTTAAATGAATTATCTTTAGACCCCCCCACCACCATGCTCTGAACAGATATTAATAAATCTTTACTGAAATGGATCATTAAAACCAAATATAACACTCTAAAGTCAATGCAGAATAGAGTGGACTGCATTCCACTCTAGGGATGCCATGCTTATCTTAATGCAAAATAAGAATACAATTAGCTTTTTATCTGCCAGTTCTCACAATGGACTTCTCATGAAAACAGTGATTAACAGAAATCTTCATACAACCAACTCTTTGCCTTCTGCAACACCTTCTGAGTTCAGGAAATACTTAGTGAATACCTACTATGTGCCAAGCTCTAAAGTATAATTACTAAACCAAGATGGTAAATATTCCATCTTGTTTGCTCTGGCAGCCTAAGAGTAACAAAGACCTTTCAATAAATCAACGTATTTGTTACCTTCTCCTTTCTACAAGATGTGTAAACCAGCAATAATGTAAAAGGAACCTGTGCTTAGCTTCAGTGAGCTGGTACGATCTTTTCCCAGCAGCGCCTAGAAAAGTGCTTACAGTATTTAAAGAATTTTTGTTCCCTGCACAGATGATGAGGAATAATGAAGTTCTGATAAACGGAGGAGAAGAAAGCTGTAATATAGATCAGTTTTGCGTCAGACCTTCACACTGTACCTTCTTTATGCAGCTCGAAGTGACTTCCATCAGACACACTTCTAATTAAGAAAAAAATTCCAGCTTCGAATATAACTGATGATATGTCCTTCTGACTACGGTAGGGAGGCTGGTGCCCAATTTCAATGGATTTAACATTTGAGTCATGTATACTTTCTGTCATGTTTGCCTGCAAATTTACTTTCTGTGTTTCCCATTGATTGTATGTTTTTTTAAGTTGTATTTTTTTTTTTTTAAGACTTGCTTTGAAGGCAATTTCAAAGTAGAATTAAAAAATAAAGTTTTAAGCACCGGTAACCTCATTGCAATAAACATTTAGATACTCCCTAGTTTTACTTTGAAAAAACGTACATATTTGCATATGCAAATGTTGATGCTTTATTGAAAAGAAAATTATCCTAAAAAGGTTATGAAGCAGGGCCATAGCATTTCAGAGGTCTGGAGGTGACTGCCCCTGGTATCATTAAAGAAGGATGGTAAATATAAAGAGATATGGATAAAACTGGGCTTTGAAAATTGCTAGCATAGCCACGTGCCTAAGAGTAGGGAATGCATTTCTAGAGTTAGAAATGGACTAAGTACGCCCTCAGAGAAAGGAGAATGCCAGGTATTTCAATGTGATAACTTTGGTTCAAGCTATTTGTGTAGAAAGGTAAAAAACAAAAGGTGTTTCCCATTGATTGTAAACACCTTGTGGCCAGGAACCAATGCTTCTTTTCTAAAGCTGTCGCTAGCTTGTGCAGTCACCTCCCCAGAGTAAACACAAAAGTATGCAACAAAAGTTTCCCTTCAGGGGGAAAACCCATCCCAACGTTTCTTCATATAAATTCTGGTACTCGTTTTCTCTTCCAAAGTAGAAACAGCTATTAACAATTAGTTCCTAAACTGCCAGTAAGAGCCCTACAACAAGCTCTTCTCCAATCTTGTCCTTGCCCCTCCCGCTATTAACTCCAGAAACGACTCGGCCTCTTAACTAGTATAACACAACCCTCGAACAGGAACACTTTGCACAGCACTGAGAATAATCTGACATGCCCAAGGTCATATAAAAAGTCTGCCTCCTGAACCAGGATCTAGGTTCAGTGGCCACTAACCTAGTTCTGGCTCTACTAAGTCTAAGGCTAAGACCCTGCTTAATTTCAGAAGCTGTGGCTTAGGAACCTCCTGAGGGGATCAGTTTCCTTCAACAAACAGTAAGCCAAGTCAACCTGCAATTATTCCGAAGAATGTAAGAGGCCTCAAACCCTGCCTCAGAGGCAGTGTACCAAGACGGTAAAGATCGCCACCACTAGCTATGTGGTCTTAAGTTCTCGAAGGCTCACTTTCATCACATTCGAAACGGAAATCACAATACCTGAATGTGGAGGTGCCCTTGCGATGATTAAATGAGACAGTGCATCTAAAATACTTACTATAGTGTCCAGTAAGGCAAACTCTTAAAGTTAGGTAGAATCATCACTATAAAACCAGGCTGGGCCTTCAGTTGGCGCTTGATTAAGCGCCGACTTAGCCAAGGAACGATGCTCCGATTCAGCGACCCCCATCAACTTACTCCCATAGGCACCACTCCACACCCTTCTCACCCTTCCGAGTTCCTCCGGGGACTGGGCGCCTGCCGCCCCAGACCTCCCAAAGCCCCCCTCCTCTCAATCCAAAACCCTGGAGCCAGGCGGACCTGCACCAAGGCATTAGCTGGCGCACCCGCCTACCGGAGCCCTCGGGGTGCGCCTCCCTGCCAGCGCGGCCAGGGGCTGCCTCTCTCCCCTCCCCCTCCGCGACCTCCCTTCCCCTCCCCCCATGCGAGGGCCCGCCCGTCCTCCCTCCGGCCCCCTCCTCCCTCCGGCCCCCTCCTCCCTCCGGCCCCCTCCTCCCTCCGGCCCCCTCCTCCCTCCGGCCCCCTCCTCCCTCCGGCCCCCTCCTCCCTCCGGCCCCCTCCTCCCTCCGGCCCCTCCCCAGCGCGCCTCCGACCCCAGCCGCCGGGCGGTTCGAGCGAGGGCCTCCTAGCGCCTCCCTGTCTCCTGGCCTCCTCGGAGACAGCGGCCGCACCCCCAATTTCTAGCGGTCGTACCGGCTTGCGGAGGCCGCGGCCGCCGTCTCTCTGCCGGTCTCCAATGACTGGGCCGACGCGAGGCCACAGGGCTGGGGCGTCGCGGGGAGGCGGTAGTCACGGCCCGCTCGGTTGCCCTCCGCGACTGCCGCACCTCGCTCCCAGGCTCGCGCGGGCACCGGCCAATCACACTGACCCAACAAGCCTAGCAAGAACTCCGGCTCTGTACGTGGCAGGTGGGGGAAGAAGAGAGGCGGGAGCAAGAAAAAAAAATGTCCTTTCGCCCCGCCTCACTGCGCGCGGACTACCAAGGACGCATGCGCGACGGCGTGACGCGCAGGGCGGGCTGGGACCCGCTGCCTTGTCCGGCCGGAGAGTCCCCGCCTTCACACTGGGTGACTGGGTATAGGAAGCGTGAGCTGAACCGATACACGCATGCGCCGGGCGTGACTACGCACTTCCGGTTTTCTTAAAACCATATATTTCCGTCTCGCCAGTGGGCGGGGCGTAGTGCGCTCTTCTAGACTTTTTAAGAGCTGGTTGCCGGTAGGCATCTGTCCAATTTTACGTGGGTTTTGTCTTTGTAGTTGTTGACCATTGTAGTAACAACTGAAAAAAAAAAAAGAGAACCCTTTTCTTCTACGAATCCATTCATTCGTTGTTGGGAGCCTACGCTTTGCCAAGCCCTGTTCTAGGAATGGGGGTGAGTCAGTTCGTGAGCAAGGAGTTTCCAACAGAGCACAGGGAAGCCTGACAGCGCTTATGAGACAAATCTGTGACTGTTTAAAGGACAAAAGCTGGGAAATTAAGGCTAAAGATGCCTGAAGTGAATTTTGAGAGATAAGGCATTTGAGTGTGCCCTACGTACTCTTCCCTTCTCTCTTACCTGTTCAAATAGAAATATAGTATGAGCAAGTGGGAATTTATAGCCAAGGGGTGGGGGTCCGCCAGTGGATGGAAAATTACTAAGAGAAGCAAGGGAGATTCTGGCTAAACCAACACAACAGGATTCTAGATGAAGGTAGGCCAGGATAATCAGACATCACCTGGCGGGTGGTGGAGGATGAGGAACCTGATCAAGGGTGAGGCGTTCTTACTACACTGACTTAACAAGGTTCTTTGCTAAAACTGAGTTTTACAAGGAGGTGTACAGATGGGCTTAGGAGAAGGCTCAGGACCCCCAAGTTTGGCTAAGCAGAGAATCCTTGTCACTTCTAAGTGAAGACTAAGCCTAAAAGTAAAGCATTTAGGCCCTACCTGGTCTCCAGTTGTTTACCAGTTATAAAAGAAAAACTTCAGCCAAATTAAATTTAAAGGAGTTAATTGAGCAATGAACGATTCACGAATTGGGCAGCCTCAGAATCAGAGCAGATTCACAGACTCCAGCACAGCCACATGGTAGAAGGTTTATAGACAAAAAAAGGGAAATGAGGTACAGAAATCAGCAGTGAAGTATAGAAACGGCTGGATTGGTTACAAGTTGGCGTTTGCCTTATTTGAACACACTTTGAACACTTAGCAGTCTATGAGTGATTGAACTATGAGTGGTTGAAGTGTGGCAGCTGGAATTGGCCAAGACTCAGTTATTGTTATAGACAAATACACCTGTTCGTTTTTCAATCTTTTCTATTAAGCTAGGTGACAGTTCATCCACAAGGATTCAAATATAAAAGTATGGAGTCCTTCTCAGGCCATATGTTTTTTGCTTTAACACCAGATACTCCGAAAGGACCTGGAGTAAATTCAGGTGTTTCAGAGTGAGAACTTATGTTCTTTTGTACTATAAATAATGTGATCTGCTTCAGGTGTAAGTCTCTGAAACTTCTGTTTGAGAGTGAAATAATGTAAGTTTAGACTTCTCTTCCAACAGTTGTATTGCCCTTTGAGCAATTTGCAGGGATAAGGGAGTGGAATACTACAGAAGAAATGGGAAAAAAAAAAAAAAAAACCCAGCTCCTCATTGCTCTCCAAAGAATGTTATTCATTGCTTATTTTTTAAAAACTGAATAATACAGATTTGGGGCGATGTACTGCTGTCAGATAATAGTATTATCATGTCATTAAGATGGCTTGGGATGGGGTAAAACCACAAGCATATGGCAAAAGTAAAATATTCCCTGAAGGAAGTGAATTATACTACTGTTATTCTCCCTAAAAAGAGGTCAGATCCTGAGGCAGGAAATAAGGAGATGAACCTTGACCTGTTATAAAGTGAAAAGAATATCTGTTGGGGATCTCCAGTGAGGGGGCACTCAAGAGTCCTGCTCCTGAGGAGAAATAAGCTGGTCCCTGTTACACTATGGTCATCCTTAAGCTAGGAAGAGAGGCACTCAGAAGCTGGCCTTGTGGAAAGGCTGGAGGTCACAGACTCTGAAAGCAACTTAAGGCTCTTTATGTTGTAATTCCCTTATATTTCATCCCCTAGCCATCAGTAAAGCCTTGTTTAATGTTAAAACTTGTTCCCAGCTACCACTGTGGAACTTGAGAGGTGGGGTTGTAGTGATTTCTCAAGTCAAAGCTGATGCACATCTATGTACTTAGGCTCCAAATAAATACAGGTGATGACTAGTGACAGAGCCATAACCTGAATTGAACCAGTTACCTACTTACCAAGTACATGGTCTCTTCTACTATGTCTGTAGATACATGGCGGCCTTCTTTTCTACAGCTAGATGAATTTGGTTTTAAATGAACACTGAGAATAGTCTTGAACTAGAAAATACTATTTATTTTTACCAAGGAACTGCTAAGAAAAAAAAGAGAAAGAAAATACTGGTTAATGGTAGTATATGAAAGTTGAGAATATGTGAAGGAAGGAGAAGCAGTGTAGAGAAATACCTTTGACCCAGGCTATATAGCAAGGGGAGACATAAGATTCTGTAGTACAGAGGTTATTTTCCATGTTTCATCTGAAGAAGTGTGAAGACTTACACTGTGGTTTTAACAGAAGGAGTCAACCAACCAACTTACCTACCACCTGCTCTTTCTCCCTGAAAGTCTGTGTAGCTAAACTCTTCACATGGAAAGGGGGAAAAATCCTAAGAATGAAAATGGGATTCTTGGACTAGACAAGAAATGAGACAAAGATTATGAGCCCTGTTAGCAAGTTAGGTAAAGTCTATGTTTTATCATGTTCTTCGTTAGTACTGAGTATAAATCATTTTGAAAATTTGAGTCATCTCATATACCCTCAGAGTAACCAAGGAAAGGGTGTACATTCCTCCTTGGATGTGAATGTGAAGGGAGAAGCTATGTCCCTTGCTGAGAATCAGCTCTATTGGGGCAGCAGTTAGCTGTTAGCTAAATAAGAGAACTCCAAACAAAAGGGGAATCATGAGGACCAAACAGGGTCCAGCTGGTCAGCTCAGCCTCATCTCCACTGGCTAAATATAAAGATTTGCTTGTGTGAACATAGGAAGCTGTCACCTTATGCAGAGATAATGAAGGAGAAAGGGACGATTTTCTTACTTTGTACCTTTGAGTGAGTGATTCTTAGTACAAGCTAAGGAAAATATTTCAACGTGTCCTACCAGCTTCACATCCATGAAGACCCTAAAATGTTTTTGCCTTACCTTGGGGCTCTTAGTTCAACCTCTCTTTAGAGAAACCACTCTCAAAGGTAGTTCTTCCTAGATTTTGTATCCCTAGAGGCTGATCTAAATATTCAATACATATTTATTGAATAAAATAATGAAAACTAAGTTACCTGCCATTGTACAGGGCAAGCTCCCAGAAAAAAAGGAGGAACTGTCATGGGTAAGTCCCTAGCTCCCTAGGTATGTAGGATTTTGTCTCTGAGTAATTTGAAATCATTCACTTTTCCTTATTTCCATCCCCTGGAGAAAGTGCTAAGTTACCTCTCAGCTAAATTACCTGTTAGAGTTCAAGTTGAAAGAGAAATGCAATTGTGAGCTGAATTGCATCCTCCTGCCAAAATTCATGTATTGAACCCCCATCTCCAGTACCTCAAAATGTGACTGTATTTGGAGATGGGTTCTTTAAAGAGTGGTTAACATTGGGGTGAGCCCCTAATCCAATATGTCTGATGTCCTTATCAGAAGAGGAGACTAGGACACAGAGAAACCAGAGATGGGAGCACACAGAGGAGAGACCATGTGAAGACACAGCAAGAAGGCGGCCTTCTGCAAGGCAAGGAGAGGGCCCTCAGAAGAAACCAAACTTACCAACATTTTCATTTCCAGCCTCCAGAACTATGAGAAAATTAATTTCTGATGTTTAAGCCACCCAGTGTGTGGTGTTTTGTTATGGTAGCCCTAGTAGACTCATACAAATGCCATAAGATGTGCAAGAAGGTATAACTTTTCATTCGATCAAGAGTAGCTTTGTTAGGCTCATTAAAGAAACCTAGGCCCAGTGAGGTGGCTCATCCCTATAATCCCAGCACTTTGGGAGGCCAAGGCAGGATGATCACTTGAACCCAGAGTTTGAGACCAGCCTGGACAATACAGTGAGACCCTGTCTCTACTAAAAATAAAAATAAAAATAATTAGGCATGATGGCATGTACCTGTAGTCTCAGCTACTTGGGAGGCTGAGGCAGGAGGATCCCTTGAGCCCAAGGAGGTCAAGGCTTCAGTGAGCTATGATCTCACACTACTGCACTCCCGCCTGGGTGACAGAGTGAGACTCTGTCTCAAAAACAAAAAAAAAAAAAGAAAGAAAGAAAAAGAAACCTGGTTGCCAGAATCTAGGAATGATGCATGTCAGGCAAAATCAAACTCTGGGTACTTGGAGACACTCACGTCTCTAATGTAACATTTATGCCAGTCATCCTCCTTTTAGTCCCTCCATATAAATGCATAATTAAACAGCATTCTCAAAAAGCCATTTCAATAAAGAGTCACTTATAATAAAAAATGCAAAGTAAAACCACAATGAGATATGATTTTTCACACATTCTTCTGAGAAAAATAGTTTCATAACACTTTTTTAAAAAGTATGTGGCAGAATAGGTATTCATGCTTTGTTGTGGGGACGTTAAATAGTTCATATCAACATCTAAAATGCCTTATGACACAACCATTTCATTCACAGTGTACCAGAGAAACACTTGCACATAAGAACACACCCCTTAATGTTTTGTTTTCAAGTGAGAGGCTATAGAGCAATTAAAAGAAATGTACACATGCATACAGTTAGAGCTCAAAAACATTTTGATGAGTGCAAAAAACAACTTTTAGAAAGTTACATTAGTGTGCAGAAAATAGTTAACGTAGCAGCCTGAGATGGCTGTCCCTAGAAAGGCCGACTTGCAAGGTTGGCCCTTGGCTGGTTTCTGGGAAATTGGATTTTAGGAGTGTTCTCATCCCATTATTTGATAAGAATGGTGAACTGTGTCTAAACTGTTTGTACAATGTGATTTATGCAGAATACCTGCTTTCTTCAAG